TCTGTGCAAGTTGCTCTGCGCAAGTGCTCTGAACAAGTTGCTCTGCGCAAGTGCTCTGCGCCAGTTGCTCCGCGCAAGCGCTTTGCGCATGTGCTCGGCGCAAGTTGCTCTGCGCAAGTGCTCTGAGCAAGTTGCTCTGCGCAAGTGCTCTGCGCCAGTTGCTCCGCGCAAGCGCTTTGCGCATGTGCCTGTGCAAGTTGGTCTGTGCAAGTTGCTCTGCGCAAGTGCTTTGTGCAATTGCTCTGTGCAAGTTGCTCTGCGCAAGTTGCTCTGCGCAATTGACTCTGCGCAAGTTGCTCTGCGCAAGTGCTGCCGGAGCTGTGGGAATGTACTTCGCGTACTACTTTTGTACTTAAAAGTTGCGATTTTCCAGCCGGAGCTGCGGGGGCGTGCTCCGCGTACTACGTTTGTACTTAAAAGTTGCGATTTTCCAGCCTGAGCTGCGGGAGCACGCTCCGCATACTACGTCTGTACTTAAAAGTTGCGATTTTCCAGCCGGAGCTGCAGGAGTACGGTCCGCGTGCTACGTTGCGATTTTCAAGCCGGAGCTGTGGGGGTGTGCTCCGCGTACTACGTTTGTACTTAAAAGTTGCGATTTTCCAGCCTGAGCTGCGGGAGCACGCTCCGCATACTACGTCTGTACTTAAAAGTTGCGATTTTCCAGCCGGAGCTGCAGGAGCACGCTCCGCATACTACGTTTGTACTTAAAAGCTGCGATTTTCAAAGCCGGAGCTGCCGCGGACCAGGGGGGAATCGAACCCGCGACCGCGGGATTGCGAAAGCAGGCGCGCAAACCACGAGACAACTTCCAAAGGCCGTTTATTGCACGGCGCCACAGCGAGAGCGCTTCGACACGCACAATCTCCGCAGAGGGTCGCGCGCGGCCAGCAGAAATCGTAAAAAGCCCCCAGTTTTTAAACCTCGACCACGCGAATCTCCGCAGAGGGTCGCGCGCGGCCAGCAGAAATCGTAAAAAGCCCTGAGTTTTTGAACCTCGACCACGCGAATCTCCGCAGAGGGTTGCGCGCGCGTGCTAAAAATCGTAAAAAGTCCTCAGTTTTTTTGACCTCGACCACGCGAATCTCCGCAGAGGGTCGCAATCCCGAGCGACGATCAAACTCACGCCCCGGCGCCTTAGTTAGAAACCTAAACTAACTTACATAGCTGCTTACGCCGAAGCTCTACGCAAGCTCTACCTAACCTTGGCTCTGTGCCACCTGGCTCTGTGTCACTTGGCTCTGTGCCACTTGGCTCTACTTGGCTCTATGTAACTTGGCTCTGTGCCGCTTGGCTCTACTTGGCTCTATGTAACTGGGCTCTATGTAACTTGGCGCTATGTAACTTGGCTCTATGTAACTTGGCTCTGTGCAACTTGGCTCTGTCCAACTTGGCTCTGTGCAACTTGGCTCTATGTAACTTGGCTCTATGTAACTTGGCTCTACTTGGCTAACTTGGCTCTAAACTTGGCTCTATGTAACTTGGCTCTATGTAACTTGGCTCTATGTAACTTGGCTCTATGTAACTTGGCTCTATGTAACTTGGCTCTATGTAACTTGGCTCTATGTAACTTGGCTCTATGTAACTTGGCTCTATGTAACTTGGCTCTATGGCTCTAACTTGGCTCTATGTAACTTGGCTCTATGTAACTTGGCTCTATGTAACTTGGCTCTATGTAACTTGGCTCTATGTAACTTGGCTCTATGTAACTTGGCTCTATGTAACTTGGCTCTATGTAACTTGGCTCTATGTAGCTTGGCTCTATGTAACTTGGCTCTATGTAACTTGGCTCTGTGCAATTTGGCTCTGTGTAACTTGTCCAAGGGCTCCGCACGGAAGAACCCTTCGCGATGCTTTCGAGAAAAAAGATAAGCTCAGGCGATGTCCCCAACAGCACCACGCCCTCCCAGAATCCTCTCCGCCCCGGAACCCACCTCACCGCCGGTTTTGCTGAGGATGCCGCCTTGCAACTTTATAAAGCAAAGCTAAGAGTGACAGCGCAATCGCGCCCTGATCGGGGCCCGACGGTGCAATCGGGGCCCGAGCGCGGCCCGACTGTGCAATCGGGCCCCGGCTATAGCTCAACGCCGGTTTTCCTTAGATGCGGCCTTACAACTGTATCTAGCAAAACTAGGCGATGCCAGCTTGGTACAGATGACGGGGCCCGACTGAGCTGCGTGGGGCCCGATGGGACACCGACGGTGCAATCGGGCCTTGTCGGGCCCCGACCTGGGCCCAGCGAACCTTGCAAACCTCGTGGAACCCTCATAAAAACTCAACGTGAAACTGTGTTGGGAACCTTTTCTCAGGGCTACCCCATAGCTTTTGCAGAACCTGGTGGAAACCTCGTGGAGCCTTTTTTTGAATCCCAAAGCCCACCAAGTGATACTTAGTAATGCCAAGCATTTACTCTGTGGACAGTGAGTCCCGCAGCAACGTAATCTGATTTGCCACAAAGCCAACATTTCGGGCCGCGTTGTCAGCAAGTGAGCAAGTCAAAACAATGAAAGTGTGCTGAAAACCATTGACTTCGGCTTTGCTTAGTGTTCCACCCATGAGCAAAGCGATCTTCTGAGCCCTCAATTTACTGCTCCGATGGCTTTTCAGACGGCGGGCGCACGACACATTGCATCCCTCCAGGACAAACCACGGAACCTTGCAGAACCCAAGAGAACCTTGTGGAGCCTTGTGGAACCCTTGTGGAATCCTTGTGCTGTGGAACCTTAATTCAGGGTCGCCCCGGACCATCCCGCAGCCCTCGCAGAACCTTGTGGAACCCTGGTGGTACCCCTATGGAACTTTACCTCAAACAACCCGGGCCACTCCGCAGCCCTTGCAACACCTCGTCGAACGCTGGTGGAACCCTGGTGGACCCCTGTTAGAACCCTGGTACCGCCTTTATGGAACTTTACCTCGCAGAACCTGGTCGAACCTTGGTGGAACCCTGGTGGAATCCTTATGGAACCTTATCTCAAACAACCCCGGACCACCCCGCAGCCCCCGTAGAACCTGGTGGAACCCTGGTGTAACCCTCGTGGAGCCTTACCTCAGGAACGCCCCGGACCACCCCGGAGCCTATCTGGGCTGAGACCCAAAGCTTTCAGCTGCTGGGGAAAAAGAAGAAAAAAACGAAAGCGAAGGCAAGCATCAAATTCTATCAAGCCTGGAGGGCGCCTTCCCATAATCTAGTGATCAGAAGCTGACCCCTGATCAGCTTGTCACATATTCATTACGTGTGAAACACACACATTCATGAGCTGATGCTCTCTGGAGTATAAGTTCATGAATGATCAAGTTGATCATATCGAATGTTGCTGCGCCTTGTCACCCTGGTTTCCAGCTTCTCCAAACGGTCCAGCACCTGGCGACAGGGCCCCAAGAAGTCTGCTGAAAACATGGCAATCCATTTTCTCAGGGCCAAAGAGCAAAAATAAGCCTCGGCAAAAATATGTAGATTGTGGTTGTGTGCTTGATTCATGGGTGGAACAATCGATGCCGGCACGAGACCGCTCATTGACAAAGCTGCCTACGCATGCTCAATCACATGGGCTGGTGAGCCACAGAGTGCAAGAATGTGGTCTGAATATAGAAGTTACAATAAGATACCAAAGTCTATGCTGACTAGAAAGTAGCAACTTACGCCTGCCCTTGACCATCAAACGCGGTTAGTAACCCCACGGGCCTCTGTGCCAGGCTTCTCAGAAGCTTGGCCCAGTCCTGGCCTCGCGTATCTGCTTGCAAAGGAGGGCATTCGCAGCGTTGGGCGCTCGCGAGATACACAAATTGTGGATCAAGCCGTGTCGAAGGTGTCGGACGCAGAGCCATTTGAAAGCATCATGAGAAAACGTTGCTAGTGCTGCTTGGTGGCAGGACCCACGACGGGACCGAGCCAACTCCATACCCGACAATGATGACATTCAAGACCAGAATGCCAAGAACGCCATACGTACCTGGGCAGTCTCCGCGCAACACGCCTTGCGCACTTCAGAAGGATGCACCAGGCTTGTTGCTTGGTAGCGAATCTCTGCAATTGGATCTCCCTCTCGCATTCAAAGTAGCTTCAGGCACTTGCAAAAAAAAATACGAGCTGAGCGCCATACGCCACAGGCTTCCTGCCAGTTTGCCACTGTCACAACGGATCATAACTCAATGTCAAGAGCCCATACCTCATTTCAGCGGAATGAGCCATTTTTGCCAAGCTAGCAAAGTGACAGTGTATCACAAACTGGCAACTTGCTGGAGCCAAGGTGGCAAGCCTCGATTCCGGATTTTTGAAAGCATGCACGGCGCAAGCTGTGCTGCCTCCATCTTCGCTCTGCCGCCGGCCGCGGCGCCGGCTATCCATTGTGTCGCACGCGTGCTGCTGCTGGTTGGTTCTCTCTTTTGTGAAGCTGCGAATTTTAAAACAACATCTGCCCGAGCCTTGAAGGCGGAAGGGATGGGAGGTGGGGGGGTGGGGGGCGAAGAAATTTTCTTGCCGAGCAGTTCTTGTTGATGTTTGGTGCCTTGCTTCTGCCCTTCGGGCGAGGCGATCCAAGCAAACTCGTCCCTAAACATCCAAATCTGGGGGGAACAAAAACCAAAATGCCACTCCATGAAACAGGCGACAGGTGCTCGCCAGCGATGTGAGGCTGAATGTGGCCTAGCTTGGGCTTCCCGCCATGCTTACCAAAATTACAGGCGGTCCGGTTGAGGGGAAAGCTGCGGATGCACGGAGCAAGCGTCAGATGAAGGTTGTTCTTAGCCTCTGGTTGCTGTAAGGCTGTTGGGACTTGCACCAGCAGGAAAAACAAAATCAGTAACAAGTCGGTTCATACACAATTGGGGAGCTCACGATCTACCCAGCACACCTGCAAAAAAATAGCTTGTCAAAAACATGCCTTAGGCAGGGGGGGGGGGGGCAGGTAGAATGTGATCCCTCAAAAAATGTGCGTGTGTGGGGTCATGTGCATCAGGGTGAGCAGACGGTTGCCCAGCTGTGCAATGCAGCTCTCCCCGCTGGCCTTCAAGCAGCTCCATCAGGCGAAGCTGTTCCTCATGCGGGGCCAGCTAAATTTTGCTGGGACGCTGAAAGTAAAACCCCCACATTTTTCTGGAAGCCAACGCTTCATGCCCACCTCCCCCCTCCCCCACACCACACCCCGCCATTATCCAGCAATACGTCAACGTTGCCGGGTGTTAAGCTGGAAAAACAGTGCAAGTGCAACCACTGGCAAGCAACCATGCCAGGTCCCAGCAAGCATTGCCCTCAGTATGAAGCTAAGCGCATCCAGTGACGAGAGGGCACACAAAGCCAGCAGAATAGAATGTGCTGCACACATCCATGACCGAGGCAGTACTTAGAAGAACTAGAGTCATGCGGCCGGGACGAATGCGTCAGGAAATCGCGGCTTTCACTACGGGCTTAAAAAAGGTCTGTACCTTGCCACTGCAAGAGGCTCTGGGCTATTGAATCATGCCAGAAAACTGCTAAATCTATCCATCAAAGCAAGTGCCCCGGAGCTCGCGGAAGAGCTGCCTACCATAGCAACAATCCCGGGCCTCGCAGTCCTGAGGATCCTGCGCAGGAAGCACGCATGGCAAAACCTCTGACCCTCAATCCGGCACATGTTGCCCTTTTCTTTCGGCCTAAATACATCTCATCGTGTTACATGCTACGGTGTTCATCAACCTTGTCGCTGTTTTCGGTGTTGACCCCTCGCGTTGCAAGGACAAGCCTCGGATCCTGTGACCCCTTCTTCGCATTAATTCATATCCGTGTTTGTCCGGGCTTTGCACCCTTCAGCTGAGTAGTTCCTCTGTCAAAAGGCGGCAAATGGATGTTGTCCTCTCTGGAAAAGCTGCCTGGTCTTGGGACAAAAGTGCATTTGTTAGAACAAGGGATAACAAACATCTTTGCTTGTTGTTGCTGCTGTTGCTGCTGTTGTTGCTGTGGCTGCTTTTGGGGACATTGAAGTTGCGGACGTTGCTGTCATTGTCCTTGTTGGTGGTTGCTGGTGGTTGCTGGTGGTTGCTGGTGGCTGCTGGTGGTTGCTGGTGGTTGCTGGTGGTTGCTGGTGGTTGCTGGTGGTTGCTGGTGCGCTTGCAGTTGGTCGTAGTTGTGGCTGTCGTTGTTTCTGTGGTCGTGGTCGTCGTGGTTGTCGTGGTCGTCGTTGGTGTCGTCGTCCTCAGCGGCGGCTGCTGCTGTTACTGCTGCCACTGTTGTGGTGCTATCATGTTCGTTGTCAAGGAGCCCGACTGCGGCTGTGCTGGAGGCGTGGGCAAGTCTTGGCAGCAGCCTCCTCAAAGCCTCTCCCACGTCCCTTCTGTCCATTCAGGCGGCATGTTAGCTTGCTCAGTGACACAAAACCCATTGTTTTGCAGCAGCAGCCGCGGAAGCGGTAGCACGTCCACAACATTCGTTGTAGGTATCGTTCACGTTCTGCCTTTGACTTCTTTCTTGGTGTGCCCTTTGCTTCTGCCATCGATCAGGACCAGGTGGCTGAACTCGTGCTCCTCCACACAGCCGCTCAAGTCCAAGGCGTCAAAGGCCTCATGTTTGGAAGCATACGAACGTTGATGGCAGGCATACCAGATCGCGTGATACAAGTAGTTCATACAAACTGGCCACGCAGGCATCACAGAAACCACACACACTCGTCAAAAACGGAGAAACAACGCTATGCGGGTCTTCCACAAAAGGCCGCCCGCAACAATCCTCCTAGATGCATGTTGCATCGATTTCTCCCGACCTTTCAGAACCCAGTGTGCAAGCAATCTCTAGAAGCTGGGTCTGAGTGGTTTCCGCTTCTAAGCCAGCAGCACCGAGGTCATTGACCGTCAAGTGACCCTGACAAGCACAGTCCAACACTTGCATGAATCCATCGGCATCTGTTGACCGCGATTGCCTTGCACCCACCAGAGCTGCCACTAATCCGGGACCATGCGCATCACACCTCTGGGATCCCAGCACCCTGATTGCGAGGATCCAGCCTGGACCGAACATCGCACTTTGTAGCGAGGGTCACTCAATAAAAAGGCATCCCAGAGTTCTTGGCATCATCCCTTTAGATGAGATGGCACATGGGTTGACAGGATGAGCCTGGGAATGGTAAAACCGTCCGCTAGCTGGAATCAAGAAGTGGGGGCAGGGGGGGAGGGGTGGAAGTGCTTGGAAAAGGAGCTCGGATAAGGCTCCAGGCAGTCCGGGTGACAAATTCAGGTTGCGGCCAAGGCCAGTGGAAACGTCGCAGCCACCAGTATGTGGAGTTCTGAAATTTTAAATGGCTCTAGGAAAGTTCCCTTTCAATCTAGCTGAACGAGGTTCTCCAAAAACCACCACGCCCTGAAGAGCAGCCGATGAGCTGCCCCTCTCTTGCACAGCTTGCAAATGAAAATAGCCGTTCAAGGCACTGTGTGGTGCATGAGTTTCACACATGGGGTCGCACGTCCCCGACCCGCACCCAAACGCGTCACTGCAGGTTGATTTTGGTATGGTCAAATAGGGGGAACCCGAGAGCGGGTGGTTTCCTTCTAGGTCGCCGTTCAACCGTCCTAACGCGGTACCCTCAAACACAAGACCCATATTCTTCGCTCACATTGGCCAAAGCCTGATTTCCAACTTCCGTCCAAACGTGCCAAGGCCAAGCCGCAGGCGGTGGGGATTCAGTTGCAGAGCTGCCAGTGCTGGGGCCCAGCAGGGGCGAGCGGCAGAAGCCTGGCGGAATTTGGGGAACAGATCACGAATCAACGCCAGGGGAACACCATGGGAAATGGGTACCCTTTTTCTTTTTGTGGGGAATTGAGCGGGTGTCCTCTGTGGACTGCCAACATTTTGACCAAACCTCCTACGACCATGACTTCACCAAGCTGAGTGCTTGTTGGCTTGAGACAGGGTGGCCCCATTCAGAGCCAAGTTTCTTACAGCTTGGCAAAAACTTGGGCGCAGCGGGCACTTGGAGCGGTGTCCCTCGTGCATGCCCACGTTGGATCACATTCGGACAAATGGGCCTCATCAAGACGGACTGCTAAGACTTGGTCAAGCTTCTTTGCTGGAACAGCCTTTCAACTGCAAAGTGGACACAGCCTTTTTTGCGGGCGGCAATCCAATGGCAAGACTTGCCTGAGTGAGCATGAGAGCCTCCAAACGTCGAACCTGGCCACGTGCAAGCAGCTTCTGAAGTGCAGTCAGACTTTGGATCTATGGACACATTTGAGTTTGCAACTGTGAAGTCGGAGCAAGCCATAGCGAGCGATAGCGATGCAATGCTTGCGTTTCGGCATGTTTCGGCAAGTGAACTGAGGCCTGAGGAGCTCAAGGTCCCTCCAGCCTCGGCGCAATGTGGCGCGGGACAGGGGCAAAGCTTTGGCACTGGTTCTAACACGGTCTTTGCGGCTTCTTCTTTCTGTCACCGAGGCAAATCGATGTGCCACTCTGGCTGCCCGAAGGAAAGTTAAAGGAAAGGAAAACGTGCATCTTCAACATGTACAACGGCAGCCATGCCAAGCCCCGAACGTCCAAACCGCCAGGCTTGAAGTCCTTCCTGGGCACATGGGCGTAAGGCGTGCAAAGCAGTTCGCAAGCCCCCAGAGCTTCAGCAGCTTTGGTGCCGCAGCTAGCCACTCTTGCAAATGAAGACATCACCTGGGACATCCTGGGACCTGGCGAACCAGATTTCGCCTTGAAGCCCTTTATAGCATGGTCTGCTTCCACTGAAGCTCAGCTCATGGCGCTGAAGTTTTCCACTCCCACTCACTGGTGCCCAGGTTCCGCAAGAACTCTGAGCCTGAACGGGACCAGGATAGCACTGAGGCATTACCACCCAGAGCAGTCTGTTTGCCATCAATGTTGCTGGCAGAACATTTCGCTCCAAGGCCACCACTCAGCTGTTTCGCTCGGGGCCTTGATGCCGGGTACGAGAAAATTGGGGCTCGCAAACTCCCTTGATTGCACGGCAGCTTATCCAACCATAAATTTACAGGCCCTTAAGCGATCAATGAGCTTCACGGTGATCATGAGCGGTCTAGTGGGCCTGGCGGCTGATGCCTTAAGTGCCAGCACGCCCATGGAGCTGCAGCCAGAGCAAAATACAAAAAGGACAAAACAGAAAAGCTGAAGTCAAACATTCAGATTAAATCTGAGACGAACCTAGGGCATCCCGACGGCCGTGGCAGGCCCGGGGCAGGCTCCCTGGCCCAAGTTGGCTGCAAGTCGCGCGGCGTGCTGCGCACGATCCGCTAAACACGACAGCATCACACTTCGTCCTGATCCACATCATCGAGCAGGTTGTACCTTGCTGGCAGAACAGGGTTCTCAAATTTGGGACCCGTGGCGGTTGCTTGGTTTCCCTGCCCCTATTTTTTCCAACAGGCCCATGGTGGAAAGCAAATGCGCAACACGCGTCTCGCTCGGATGCCCACGGCAGTGTTGAGGAGGGGCTCGGCGGCAGCTCGCCAGCCTCAGCTTCGCGGAGATCTGCCCAGCCGATGAGGGGGCTCTCTGCGGACCACTGCCAAAGTGTGAGTTGCGGACCAACTGTGTCGACTGAAGGAGACAAACAAAGCCAAGGGCGCAAGATGACCCCTACTTTCGGTCCAAGCCGCAAGGCAAAGGCACGCAACGATATCAGGCTCATTTGCTTGAACACCTGCTTGTTGAGCCGGGATTGTTCATGCACCCCTGTCAGAGCCAATGTGTTGCCCCAGCGCCCAATCTAAAGCTGAGCAAGAAGAAATTGGATTAATATAGTTACATGCAGCGTGCAGTGGCCACTGGGCTCGTGGCCATGGCTGGCCAGCCTGGGCAGAAAACACAAACTTTAATGTGCCTTCAACGGCGCTGGGTCAAAGGAAAACAACTGGCCAAACATGCGCTTGTCCCAATGAATGGGGTCTCCGAACCGAGTGTTTCCTTCCACCCCTTTTAAACGCCAACTTTTAAACGCCAACCAAACTGGGTTCCCCAAAACAAGCCGAGCCATGAATATTACGCGGGTCCATCCGAAGAGCTTTCCAGCATACAGGGGGCGGGGGGGGGGGTGCACACGCGGACCTAGGCAAGCAATGGCTTCAGCTTGCTGTGAGCAACATCAGGAAATGCTTATGGAAGGCCTGTCATTTTGCAGTCATGGGAGCGTGCACGTGTTGCTTTGTTCATCCTTCCGTCATTGAACATGCGCGTGCTGGGTTCTGACTGACTCTCACTTTGTCTTAGCAAAGCGCCCTGACATGGCCTGACAACCTCAATTAGAATTCCTCCCTCCTTTGAAGCGCATTTGTTGCCCAACGCACTTCTCTCGTTTCACAAATTGGGCATCCCCAGATCAATCTGCACACTGCTAACAAAAACGAAAACTTGAAGGACAAAAACGCATGCTCAGGGGGTGGGGTGGCCACTTTGGCCTACAACGCAAACTTGCTTCAATTACTTCAATTGCTTCAGAAGAGAAAGCCATGACTCTCAGCCTCAGCCTTCTGAGCCCGGGCCTCTGCCGCGAGGCCGGGCCCCAAATATCGCCGGTGCGGTTGCCGTGCTGCCAACCGCTGTGAGCCCCGGCTGGCGAGCAGGATCAAGGGCGTCGCTGTGTCTCCGGAACCCCCACGGTAGCTACTTCTCTTTTGGCTCCCGTTCCAGTCAACTAAAACGGGGCTCCCCAAAAACAAACACACACTCCATTCTACTGGTTCCAATTCATTCCAGCCAGCCCGTTGGCGCGGCCGCATTGACCACCCTCGCGGCTTCCGCCAGTGGCAATAGGAGCCCAACCGCCATGCGCACCATTTTTTGGTACGACAGCTAGGGTTCATAAGGCGCCGCTCGGTGCTTGGGCGCGGCTCGGGCGGCTCGGCGCTTGGGCCGCCTGGAGGTGAGCTGGGATTGACCTTCCGCCAAGGGGTGGGGTGCTGAGGGTCCGAGGGGACTGGCACTTACCTGAAATAAGGATTGCTTACAGCATCGCAGAAACTGCCTGCAAGGACTAAAAAACCGCAGCAAGCAAGTTGCAAGCATATTTGCCAGCTCCGCACGAACAGCCACAGCTGCAGATGAGCTGCGTAAAGCCCTAGAAGCGAGGCTTCAAGGGCGATTCAGTGGCTCAGCGAAAGCTGAGTATTCCGGACAAGACTTTTCGGGGGTATATGGATGTCAGGTGTATACCTCACGGGGTGTACGCAAGCAGGGCCTCACAATATACAGACTCATAGACGAAAAAAGCATCCAAGTCTTGTCGCCCAGCCTCGCTGCTCAAATGCAACGAGGCTGAGATCAAAACTGTGCAGCAGGCGATTGCGCTGCTGCAATGTGCGCTTATGCCCACGAGTAAATCACTCCATTCCCGCAGCACGAATCAGCAGCCACAGCGAGAGATGGTCTTCAGCTGTTGCTGTGGCTACTCGGCACCTTGCACCCACTAAGGCAGAACACATCTGGAATAGCATTGCATAAGTGGATTGTCTGAAGCAAAACATCTGACCCGATGAGTATAAAAAAGCAGATCTTGCTTCGTGTGCTTGAGCTGAGCGAGTTTGCCCGTCGGTTTTCTGCGTCCTTCGCCTTTTGCACGTGATGCAGAGTGGCAATAACAGAGCATAAACACAAGAAGCATCCTTTTGAAAACTGGCGAGCCAATCCCATCACTTGGCCACAGAAAACACATGGGCAAACTGATTCCGTGCGGCTTGGCCAAGCAAAGTGCTGTACGGCATGCACGTGCCCGTGTTGCGCAGCATGCTCCAGGGACCGGACTGATGACACTGACACACATGTCAGGTGCAAATATGAAGCGCATACGTCGGGCAAGCCTTCAAACAATGGCCCCTGGTGCTGCAATAGTGATAACATGACCGGCATCAGGCGGCATCAGGCGTGAATGCAAATCGCTGACTGGTTCCAGCAACCCGCCAAAGAACAGGTGAAGGATCGTGTCGCAAAGACGCATGCTCATCTAGGATAAATTCCTAACTCTGCACATGATTTGTTCCTTCAGCTTTATTGGCATTGGGTGAATATGTGCAAGAATATTGGGCTGCCACCAGCTCAGTGACAGTTGCATTGTGTCATGCTTGCTCGTCGGCCCACCAAGAAAATGGGAAGTGGGTTGGACGGAGGCCCTTGCATGGAATGCAAGGGCCGGCTAGCTCTTAAACGTCATGCATACTCCGCGTTGCCTGGCCTACTGGGCATCCTCCTCACTTGTCTCCTTTTCCCTCGACCTTGCTTCCTTGGCCTTGCCACGGCGCACGCGTCGGTTGCCCAACTGCTCTCTCAGCGGCAAAGGCAGGACGCTGATGTTCAAAGACTGGCAGGTCCTTGGTTGGCTTGAAGCAAGCCCGTGTTTGCGCCCGTGTTTCATCACAGGCTCAGATGTGTGCAACGTGGGGTACTTTCTTGATTTCTGGTTTAGTGAGCAGTTCACTGTCTCTATGGATCTCCCTACTTCCTACAAGGCCCGAATGTCTTGTGCAAGCTGACCCTGGCAGCAAGCAAGCTCATAATCCCTGCCAGCTTCATGATAATAATCTAAATCCCAGCTCAGCTTCCAAACATTGTCGACAGGGCCGGGCCGGAAGATCATGGGCTTGAACCAGGGGTTGAGAATGCGGGTTTGCTGCGTCTGAAGGTACTTGAAGACGTTCGCTTCAAATCCTTGCGTCACTGCCGCAGCGACTTCCGGCACCTTCTGGGACTTGTACTTCTCCAACCTGTGGCTGGAGAAGGAGTCCCTAAAGCACCAGACCAGCTCCTCCGAGAGCATATTCACAAAAAAATAGCCCTTGTTCTTCTTGGTCTCGAAGTCAATAGGGAGGTACAAGAAGTCGAAGGTGCCAGCGAAGCCCCGTTTTACCACCTCTTCAAGCAGCTCCTCCGTGGTGTACCGGTTGGGGATGTGGCGAACCATCACGGTCGTAGTTCCCTCTGGCCAGGCGCCATGTGAGACCGAAACTGGTGAGCCGAAGGGTGACGAGGTACAGGAAGATAGGGAAGAGGGAGGGGATGACGGGGCTCTGTCAATGATCTCCTCCATCCCCTGGACTTCTCTCTGCCTCTCAGCACCCGACCCTCGAGCCAGGAACTCCGGCGCGAAGTGGAAGGGCAAGGATGGACACTTTGGGTGGTTGCCACAACCCCGGACTTGTGTCGCATGCACCTTGCTAGCGAGGACTTGGGGTCTGGGATGTACTTGGCCAGGAGGTGCAAACGCTAGGCCCTCCAAGCCCGGTGGGGCTGCCAGTGGGGCTGCCACCTTTGCTGGCTCGGGAATGCGGAGATTTGCCGCCTCCATGAGCCTGGGTGCAAGCAAGAGCTGGACTCTAGGCTGCAGTTCTGTGAAGACATACTGTGGGTCAGCCATGCTAGCTGCGTGGCAGTAGCCCATCTCATTCTCTCCAGTGACTACATAGTCGCTCAGCTCCGTTGCCAGGCAGGATGGAAGGCACAACTCCGCGAGCATGGCAGGCACAGGCTATTCGTGTGAATTAACTTGGACCTCAAAAACTGGGGCCTCAGGCCGGAAGATGGCTTTCGCAAACTGCTTGCCGAACCACACACCGAGAATTCGTGCCAGGCACCTTCAGGCCCGGGTGAGCTTGCAGCTGCGCGACACCGAAATGCAAGCCCTTCGGCACCTGCACCGCCTGCTGCAGCTGCTCCCGCGCCAGCTGCGGCTTGGTGGCCATGAGCGCCGCCAGCTCCTCCATTCCACGTAGCTCAAATCGTTCAAAGTCAACATTGGTGAAAAATACGGAAAGGGCTAAGGATCCACTTGCAGATTGCTACATGTGGTTGAGCTCTTTCATCCCGAGGCCCATTGGTGTGCCACATGCCCGTGTTTGAGTGTGCGGCATCCTTGCAGGCACGAATGGAAATAGCATTAACGCTGGGCGCGCCTCCATCCTGAACCCCAGCTGCTGCAGCAGTCGCTTTCGCGCCAGGCGCCAGCGAATCAGGGGGCCAGTCCCAGCCTTGCACAGCCGCAGTGTCCCCATGCCAGTTGCCCTTCAAATTCGGAGGCAATATTTGCAGCCGACACAGTGGTTTAGACTTGGGAGAACCCGCCAGCGCAACTCCTCTGCCACCCACTTTTACAAGCATCCCTCCGAAGGTCAACTCTTGAGGCCAGTGAAGAAGCTGTGCAGGCAAGCGTCAGGGAGCTTGGACCTCAGAGCAAGACAGACATAAAGACCAGCGCCATTTAAAAGCAAGACATCTCGCTCTGAACTGAACACTTCCAGTACTCAGCAGAAGTGGGCAGTGCCCACCTCGACTGTCTTGCCCATTAGTGGCTCGCCCCATCAGCCGGGCTTGCGCTCGCACTTGGCCTCAGGCTCAGAATCTAGCAGCGCTTTGTCCTCGAGGGCAAGAAGCCAAGGTGCAGGTGCGTTGTCCGTGCGCAAATAAGACACAAGCAAGCTAAAACGTGCCTCTTGACCAAGAGTACTTGACCTATGCTTTATTGGCAAGGCAAGCACCCCGCCTGTTCCTGGCACCCTCCTTAAACGCCCCTAAGTATCCTAGCCCTGCACCCTCTTTCCTAAGAAGGAACCGTCCGATGGTGATGGTGATGATGATGATGATGATGATCATCATCATCATCATCATCATCATCATCATTATCTGTAATCATGATGTCAATGACGAAACCGGAACACCACCAAGTGCGCCAAGCACCGCATTCTCAACACTGCCCACATGCGTTCAAGCCACTTCGGCTGCAAGTCAACCAAGCCTCCCATTGGGCATTGCTTTCACTATCCTCTCCTCCTCAGCTGTGGTCGGAAACTCCTTTTCCAGGCCCCTGGGCGCTTGTGACAAATGGGCCGGCAGGGCTTGCACCCCTCTGTGCCCTGGGCCAATACTTCACACTGACAGCTTGAAGTTTGACGAATCCAGACATTGCATGTTGCAAGCAGTGCCAAAGAATGAGTGAGCTTCAACGTGGCTGCCACCAAGGGATCACGTAACGCGCGCCTGCAAATCTGCGACACTGCTCGCAGAGCACGGGCCTCCCAAGACTTCTCCGCGAAAGGAAGGCATGCAAGAGGCATTTGCGCGCAAAGCGTCACAGCGGGCTCATGATGAGAAAGGCAGGCGGACTTCCTATGGCGCCTGTCCTCGAGTGGTTGGCCCCAACTCTAAGCCTTGCTCGCCAAGCCTCAGCTGTGGCATCGTCATCGCCAGGTTCTCGCAGAGCTGCATGAAGTACCTCTCAGGCGACATTCGGAGGGAACTGCAGGGCTGGCTCTTCAACCTGGCCTGCAGCAAAGCGACGTCCGGGGCTGCGGCACGTAGCAGGACTCCACCAAACTCCTGCCGGCTAACCGCAAAACCTGATAGAAGTCACGAACCCGAACGCAGATTAATTGCCCAAAGTTACGTGGCATGTCTATCTGTGTATGCCTCTGCCTATCCATTCACCTATCCATCTGCCCATTCATCCGAGCACATATCGCTCTGTACATTGTTTAATCTATCTATCTATCTATCTATCTATCCGGCTGTCCATCTGCGCAACTGTATGCGTCTAACTGTTGTTCTATCTATCTCTCGCTCTCGCGACCTCTGATTCAACCAATCAATGAATCAATCAAATCAATCAAATCAACCAAATCAATCAAATCAATCAAGTCAATCAAATAAACCAAATCAATCAAGTCAATCAAATCAATCAAATCAATCAAATCAAGCAATCAATCAAATCAAATCAAATCAAATCAGTTCAAATCAGTTCAAATCAGTTCAAATCAGTTCAAATCAGGTCAAATCAGTTCAAATCAGTTCAAATCAGTTCAAATCAGTTCAAACCAGTCAATCAATCAATCAATCAATCAATCAATCAATCAATCAATCAAACTAAATCAAATCAATCAATCAATCAAATCAATCAATCAAATCAATCAAACAATCAATCAAACAATCAATCAATCAATCAAATCAAATCAATCAAACCAAATCAAACTAAATCAAATCAATCCATCAACCAACCAACCAATCAATCAATCAATCA